TATATATATATATACATGTCTACTCTTAAACATTAGTTTTTACATTTATACCATCTAAATCTTTCATATCATATATGTTCTGCAAAAACAATGCAAAAATGTAGAAATTCACACAACAAGAATCAAACAAAAAAAATTTACGATGTTCGGCGTTAAAATGATTCGCCTACGTCCACTGGGAGGGAGATTTCACTAGCACCGGATGAGGAGAAACAAAAATAGCTTGGGTTACAACTCAACACTTCTCATCATCATACACCTTTCATAAGCCCCAAGTCTTTTTTCATAGAAGAGACATAAAGCATATAAAGAAAGAAACCGAAAATAAAACACATGATATAAAATAAACTCATTCAGCAAAAAGTTATAAATACAACAATCCCTACCTCATCTCTTACTTCCAGATAAATGAGAGATGATCAACTGACCTCCAACTCCAAATCAACTGCACTAAGATGGTTGCCTACATACCAACCCCCTCCCGAAGGGATCAAGGCTCACGTAGTTCTTCAAAATGATCAACTGGGCAATCAGTCTTGAGCTCGAATGTTCACCAAATTTATGCAGTAAGTGAACTTCTGGACTGGTAGTACCTTCATGAGCATATCTGTTGGATTCTCCTTCACATCTATCTTCTTCAATAAAACATTACCTTCTTCAATCAAGTCCCAAACAAAGTGGTGTCTTACATCAATATGCTTGGTAAGAGTATGATGAACTAGATTTGTAGCCAAGAATATCACACTTTAGCTGTCAAAGAACATCGTTAGAGACTCCAACTAAACTTCCAAGTCATTCAATAAGCTATGCATTCATATTGCTTCCTTTGTCGCCTGTGTGATTGTCATGTTTTTAGCCTCCGTACTAGGCAAAGCAACAGCAGATTGAAGAAAAGACCTTCAATTGACTGAATTTCCCGCCAATGTGAATAAATAACCCATTGTAGATTTTTATTTATCCATATCACTTGTGTAGTCCGAGTCAGAGTAGCCTGCACACAAATCTGCACTGGATGACTGCCTCTCAAATACTAGGCCAATATCAATTGCACCCTTCAGATACCTCAAAATACTCTTCACAGTCTCACAATGACTCCTTCTTGGATCATGCACGAACCTATTGAAACCACCAACTGCTTGTGGAATGTCTGGTCAAGTACAAACTATGACATACATTAGACTGCCCACAACACTAGCATAAGAAACCGATCACATGTCATTCCTTTTTTTATCATCTTTAGAACACTGATCTAAATCATTTGCAAGTGAGAAGCAATGGGTAGACTCACCACCTTTCTTGAGTTGTCAACCCAAGTTTTCCGCACCTTCCAAGCATAAGCTCCTTGCAAAAGCCATACCTTTCCAACTACCTTGTCCCTAAGAGTCTCCATGGCAAGAATTCTGTGAGCTTCACTAAACTCCTTCATTTCAAAATTTTTAGACAGTTGATTTTTCATATTATCAAACTCAATCTGACTGACAGATGCAATCAACATATAGAAGCCAGTAAATGAACTCACAATTAGCTAACTTCTTGAAATATGCACAACGATCACATTGGCTCCTCATTTACTCTTGTACCCTCATGAACAAATCAAAACTTTTATACTGCTATTGTGATGACTGCTTCAACCTATACAAAGAATTGTTCAGTTTGCAAACTAAGTCTTTTGATGCTCCATATCCAGGCAGTTGCAACATATAGATCTCCTGTTACAGTTCTTTGTGTAGAAAAGGATTCCTCACATCGAGCTATTTTAGGATCAGACTTCACATTGAGCTATTTTAGGATCAGACCATAATGTGCAACAAGTGATAAGAGAACACAGATTGAGGAATGCATAACCATTCAGGAAAATACTTTGTCATAATCAATCCCTTCTCATTGCATAAAGCCTTTTGTCATTAATCTTATTGTACCACACATCAACTCAAGATCTTATGTTCTTTGCACACACTTTTTCACCCGATGGCTTTCCTTCCCAGAGGAAGCTTCACTAACCTCCAAGTATTATTCTTCCGAAGAGTCTCCATCTCTTCATCCATTGCCTCTCTCCATGGAACACATTCTGGAATTACTTCTTTATAGTGACAAGGAATTTCTGCCTCAATGGTTAAAGTGCAAATGCAAGGTAATCCCTTAATCAAATTGGTTTTAATAGACTCTGACACTGGGTACTACTTTAAGCAATAAATTTCTGAGCAAGAATCTCAACCTCGACATCTTCTTCTACTTCTTCTGAGAACTTCGCCACATACCTCCTGAACTACAACTAAATTAAATGTCTAAGTCAGAGGGGATGAACTCTGTCGAACAAATAGAGTTATATTAAATTCAAACTTTTACTACATATATGTGGTCTCAGTAAAATTCTTCACCTGCTTTGAGTCCTAATTTTTTTACAAGTTTGCCTCGTCGAATGTAATATCCTTGCTAATGACAATCTTTCTTTCTGATGGATCATACAATTTGAAGTTCATAAGTCCACAC